TTGTATTACAGTGACTAGACCGTGAACTCTTTGAGGGCAGGGATCTTGCCTTATACATTTCAGTTTGGGCATAATATCTACCTGAGCATAGTTAATGATCCATAGATGCTGAAGGAGTGAACAACGGAGAACTGAGCTTCAATCCTGACTCTGCTTCTATGTAGCTCTGTTAGCCCAGGAGGATACTGAATACTCTGGGACTTGGCTACCTGCTCAGTTAAATAAGGGTATGGCATTAGATGATCCTTAAAGCCTTCCTTTTCCCAGCACTGCTGCTGTATTAGTCCGTTTGTGCTTCTATACAAAATACCATCAACCGGCAACTTACACATCAGATGGTGAGTTTTCACAGTTCTGGAGGCTGGGGACCCCAATATCAAGATGCTGTTCCATTTGGTTCCTGGTGGGAGCCCTCTTGTTCCTGGTGGGAGCCCTCTTGGCTTGCAGGTGGTCACTCTTACTGTATTCTCACATGGTGGGGAGAGAGAGGGAGAGAGTGAGCACTCTGGTCTCTTATATAGGCTGCTAATCCTGGCAGGAAGGCTCTACTCTCGTGACCTCATCTAAACCTCGTTAACTCCCCAAGGCCCCACCTCTTAATGCCTTCACTTTGGGGGTTAAAGCTTCAATATGTGAAAGGCATGCCGTCCATAACAACCATCCTACTAATCTACTCAAATAATTTCAAAATGAAGAGTGCTCAGAAACCTGAGCAGGAATCAAGAAACCTGAGAGCAGCGAAGGGTAGAGGAAGTGGGAATGTTCTACAGCCAAGAGCAGAGGCCTTCAGAGCGAAGGGGAGGTGGCCTTTGGGCTCAGATCTGATACCTGAGTTACAATAATGGCACTTGGGATAGAAAGAAAGTTGGAGGAGGCTTCTTCAAAGGTTGAAGACACTGGACTTGGGAATTAATTGGCAACAAGGGGTAGGAGAAAGTTGTAAATCAAACTGAACCCTGGATTTTGTACTTGGGTGACTGGGGGAATGCAAATTTATCTAACAGCAGTGGTCCCCACTGAAGTATTCTTGGGCTTCCATTGTAGCGTGGCTCAGCTGGTAAAGAACCCGCCTGCAATATGGGAGACCTGGGTTTGATCCCTATGTTGGGAAGATCCCCTGGAGAAGGGAAAGGCTACCTACTCCAGTATTCTGGCCTGGAGAATTCCATGGACTGTACAGTCCATGGGATTGCAAAGAGTCAGACACAACTGAGCAGCTTTCACTTTCAGTGGTCCCCAACTTTGAATATACAGAGGATTACCTGATGTGCCTGGATCCCTCTCAAGACTACTCACATCAGAATTTCTAGAGATGGGCTGGAACATCAATATTTTTTCAAAGTCCCTCAGATGGTACCATTGTGTAGCCAGGGTGGATGATTTCTAATTTAGAGTTAAAGGCACTAGATTTCTAGATGCTATAGAATAATAAGAAACTGAGGATCAAAGACTAATAACTCCCAAATAATTTGGGGAATGAGTTGTACAGAATGTAGAATAATGGCTTCCCAAAGATGACTGGTGGCTCAGTGGCAAAGAATCTGCCTGCCAATGCAGGAGACACAGGTTCAATCCCTGGGTCAGGAAGATCTCCTGGAGGAGGGCATGGAAATCCAGTCCAGTATTCTGGCCTGGAGAATCTTATGGACGGAGGGGCCTGGCGGGCTACAGTCCCTGGGGTCACAAAAGAGTCAGACATGACTTAGTGACTCAACAACAAAAGATGAGTACATCCTAATCCTCAGAACCTGTTAATATGTTTTTACACAGTAAAGGGGGATTAAGGTTGCTAATCAACTGACCTTAACATGGGGAAATTTTTTTTTTTAGGTTATACTCTTAGCTTTATTTTTTTTAATTTTTTTCCATTTATTTTTATTAGTTGGAGGCTAATTACTTTACAATATTGTAGTAGTTTTTGTCATACATTGACATGAATCAGCCATGGATTTACATGTATTCCCCATCCCCATCCCCTCTCCCACCTCCCTCTCTACCCGATCCCTCTGGGTCTTCCCAGTGCACCAGGCCCGAGCACTTGCCTCATGCATCCAACCTGGGCTGGTGATCTGTTTCACCCTAGATAATATACATGTTTCGATGCTGTTATCTTGAAACATCCCACCCTTGCCTTCTCCCACAGAGTCCAAAAGTTTGTTCTGGAAATTATCCTGGATTATCTAGGTAGATCCAATGTAATAATAAGAGTTCTTTAAAAAGTGGTGGAGAGAGAGAGAAGGAGAGAGACAGAGAGGCATATGTGCTATGGAAAGATAACCAGGGAGATGCAACATTATTGTTTTTGCACATAGAGGAAGGCAACCATGAATCAATGAATGTGAGCTGCTGCTAAAAGCTGGAGAAGGAAAAAAAAAAAATAGAGGATATTCTAGAAACTTCAGAAAGGAATGAAATCTGTTGACACCTTGAATTCTTGAATTTGACCTGATGAGACCCGTGTCAAACTAATGCCCCACAGAACTGTAAGATAATAAATTCGTGTTGCTTTGTGCTTTGCACTCAGTCGTGTCTGACTCTTTGTGACCCTATGGACTGTAGCCTGCCAGGCTCCTCTGTCCACGGGAATTCTCTGCGCGAGAATATTGGAGTGGGTTGCCATGCCCTCCTCCAGGGGATCTTCCCAACCTAGAGATCAGACCCAGGTCTCCTGCATTGCAGACAGATTCTTTATTATCTGAGCCACCAGGGTTGTTTTAAGCCACTGAATTTGTGGTAATTTGTTTCATCAGCCTCAGGAAACTAATATAAATGGTCAGTTCAAGAAGGCTTCCTGGAGGAGGTAAATCTTGATAAACTTTTTTTGCAGAAACATTGTTGGTGGAGAAAAACTCAGGCAGATAGGTGTTATACATTGAGTCCATAAGAAGAAAAAGTCAAGAAAACTCAAGGCTGTGTAAACCCAAAGGGTTTAAAATAAAAATTCAGAGGAACAGAGTGATTGTCACTAAATTCCCCAATGGAGTCAGAGGCAAAGCATTCTCAGGAATTTTTCTCAGTAATGTTACTTGAATTGTGATTAACTTCACAGATTTAAAGGCTGACAAGACACTTGTTTTACCTGGATGGTTTTAAATTACTTAAGTCAGCAAAGAAAGCTGATAGAATCTGCAGCTTCCATATAGCTCATCGCCTGAATGTAAATCAGAGCTTAACATTCCCATCACTCTCTCTTAATCAGATCTGTAGACTCAACTAATTTCTTTTTATTGGGTCCTCCTGAATAAAAAAACAGTTGGATAATTACATACACACACAAGATGAGAGAGAGAAAGAGAGAAACCTTTCATATGTACATTTATTCATTAAGATACATTTATTGAAATTTGTGTATGAAATGAACTGTGTTAGGGATACATCAATGAATGAGACAGGCAATGTCCTTGTTCTCATAGAACTCACAGCCTGGTGGAGAACAGACAAATAATCAGGCAATTTATAGTATAGCAGGCATTGTAGGTTACTGGGAGAGAACATGAAAGGGGCAACTGACTCAGTATGGGGGTGGAAAGGGAGAAGTAGATCAGAGGAGGCTTCCTGGAGGAAGATAACTTCTAAGCAGCATCAGCAAATCCTGGGAGATAGTTAAGAATGGAAATTCTCAGGCCCTTTAAACAGACCTATGAAGCCTGAAATTCTCTGGGTGAGGCACAAAAATCTGTGTTTCAGTACATCTCTGGGTGGTTCAGGTACACACTAAAGTTTGTGTATCAGATGCTCATACCTGGGCTGCATGTAGGAATCCCTTGGAGCATTTTTATACCAGACTGATGCAATCTCCCTGCTCTCAGGCAACTGATTCTATTGGTCTGGAATATAGCCTGGGAAGCAGTATTTTTTTCCAAGCCCTGGGTGATAGTAATGTGATTTTGAAGCATAGTCAGTGTCGAGGTCACTGCTTTAAGCTGGCAGCTGACGCAGGAGCTAGCCCGGCTGCGGGGCTGGTGGGAGGGCAGCAAGGGCATTACAGGCACGTGTGCCAAAGCCCAGGTATATGTGGGCCCCTGATAAGGCAGGCTAGAGAGTCCACATGACATATCCTGTGGCTTAAAATAAGGTTCATGGCTATGAGTTTAAGTGTTTATTGCAGTACTTCTTAAACTTTAATGTACAGAGAAACGATCAGAAGATCTTGTACAAACACAGACCCTTATGCAGGAAGGAGGTTCTGTCGCCCTCACTGTTGCTGAGCAAACATGTCAGAGTGGATGGGGACTGCGACTGCAGAAGGATGTAAGGATCCGTAGCCCCAGGGTCAACATAAGGGCACCCAATTAGGGTGAACTGCAGAGGTCTGTCGCTGGGCAGGTATGTTTTGAGAGCAAGGAGGAAAGATGCAACCTACCGCAACCTCCTAGCCTGCTCTTCCTATTATTTCCCATCAAGGTCGTACTGCTTTTAGCTGAGCAGTGACCCCTCCGCCCCGCAATCTAGCTGAATGTCCCCTGGCCAGGCCAGCAGAACCGGCTCCTTAAGTGGCCGCTGGAGCTCTCTGTAACTTGCCAGCCAGCCAGGAAGGCGCTGGCCGAGGAGGGGAGTTCTCTGGGGGCCCCTCTCCCCTCTTTCCACCTCCCCTGGCTGACAGCGGCGGTGCCTGCGGCAGAGCCTCCCTCTGCAGCAGCCCCTTGCACTTGGCGCGTACTTCTGGGCGCTGTCCATGGTTGCAGCATCTTTCGGCGCGCCACGTCAGGAGGCCGCGGCGGGGCCCTGCGATTGGCGGAGGAGCCCCTCGCCATCCGCCAACACGCCCGCCCCCGCGCCCCAGCCCCGGAGCTCCGGCCCCACAGGCGCGTGCCAGCCCGCGTGCCAGGCGCGCCCTGGGGCTCCCGGGCGTCACACCCACTTTCCTTATTAGGGGAGAGTCGGACGCTCCGAGCGGGCGGCGGGGCTCGGGGTGGGGTGGGGAGCCCTGGGAGGCGACAGCCGAGAGCTCAGCCACAACCTCAGCCGCCTCCGAGCGGTAGGAGGGAGCAGCCGGTCGCTGCGTCCCGGGGGGCCACTTTCCGGGCACCCGGCTCCTCTCGCCCGGGAGGAGATAATCCTCTGCGCCCTCCGGGTATCTCCGGTCCATACCTTTCTCAACAACATGGAAGAATTTTTGCAGCGCGCCAAGTCTAAATTGGTAAGTTGAGGGAGCAAAAAGCTGTGTGCGTTGGTTCGCGCGCGCGCGCGCCTTGATGGATGGGCATTACAGCAGAGGAGGAAGAAACAACTTTGCCGGTTAGTTGTCAGGGAGTGCGGGCTGTCCTCTGGAAAGAATCTCTGCGACTCTGGGGCTTACGCCAGGCAGTCTGTCTCCATAATCCGCGCCCCGGAGCCAAAGCGGCGGCTGCGGTGGTGGTGACCTGGTCGAAGTTGGGCGCTGTGTATCCAGCTCGTAGCTGGAGAGACGCAGATCCAGCCAAACCTACAGTTTGCCCCTGCAGGCTAGAGAATAAATGGGTGTGGTGTTCCTTGCGATAAAAGAGCCCAGACTTGTGCAGATGCGGTACGCTTAAGTGTAAAAGGAAAAGAAGCTGTACTTTAGCTGGAGGGGATGACAAAACCTAAATGACGAAGTGGTAACACCGACCTAGAGGAATGTGTGAGAATAGCAGTTTACCCGAACGTCACTTACAAGGGGCTTGCTCCTTCCTGGGAGGGAGTCAGGGGTATTCTAGCGTGAATCGAGTCTCTCTGGGCCCTATTCAGATCTGTCTCTTGTGGCAGAGGCAGAAGGGGAAAACCTCAACTGTTGCTGTTGCTTTGGGGTTTGCAGATTGTCTTTCTCCTGGAAGCTAACCAGCTTGTGGCGGACTCCGTTTTACTGTACTGCTGTCCAAACAGTGAGGGTAGTTTCTCACTGTGGATATTGACAGTTGCTATACATTCTGGAACAACAGATTCTAGCAGTTTCCTGATTCCAAATTGTTTTGGCTCTCCAGCATTGCAGTAATGAGCATAATGGAAATGTTTCTCTTTTGGCACTTAACAAAAAAGCTTTTGCCCATTTGGAAGCAATATCTTTAATGAACACTGAAAGCACCTTTTACAGGCCTGGCATAGGAGGAATCGCATAATTTATGTTGCCTTTAACCTTTAAACCTTCATAAAAGCCAAAATACAAAGTCTGCATTAAGATGACGTCTTAATCACAAGGCACGGTATTTGCAGGGTTTTTTTTTTTCTGTAACTCATTTACCCTTGCACAACAAAGGGAGTGGAGACGAATGCGTGATTCTTACAGAGATTTAACTGTAAGTATCCTTTAAAAGATTTTTAAAGTTGATTCTTACAGAGATTTAACTGTAAGTATCCTTTTAGAGGCCTTTAAAGTTGACTAATGCTAATATAAATACTTTGTTTTCTACCTTAAGCCTCCCAGAGAGTTGATAATCTGTGGGGATTTCAGAATTGAGGAGGTTTGCGATTGTTTCTGTGTTTACTGCTGACCCTCTTATAGGTTTACTTGAGCACATGAAGGAAAAAACTGAAATACTTGCATTTCTTTTTTTCTTTTTTGCATTTCTGATAGCATAACTGTGCTCTTTGTTCTTTTTCTAACATTGAGTGAAAAATGATCAAAAAAGACCAATTTTGGCAACTTATTTTTTTCATGGATTAAAAAAGTGGTGATCAACCATCACGCAATTGTAAACTGCACCTGTGTTCCACTCCTGTAGCATTTATTTTAATAATAAGCATTTAGATTGTGGGGTCTAATGTGAGCAAGAGGTTTGTCTCATTTCTGAAGAGCAATTGCTGAGGTGAAAAATTCCCTGTTTCAGATTAATTAGGTAGAAGTCATGCTTAAGTTTATTTACTGAGTCCTCTCATTAGAGGAACAGTTGCTCTTCATCATTAAAAAAAATGACAGGAAAAAGAAGTGATTGTTTGTAATACTATTCCCAGTTTCCTGCTTTAGCTGGAAGAATAATTACTGCTAATTTTATCTTTTTTCTTGTAATAGCCTTTTTGTTAGCAATCACAAGTAGCCTTTCATCTTTAGCCATAGTAAAGGTGGTTTGGTCACTTTTAATGTCACATTTCCCCTGACAAATTATATTTTCTAGGTAAATAAAAATTTTACTTAATATACAACATTCAACTATAGTAGTAGGTAAACCTTTTACTTTAGAGGATATATATATATATATATATATATATACACACTCTTTGTTTAGGAGAAAAAAATTAAGTCAGTAATTATGGCATTCATTTGTGAGAGGTTTATTCACAATAGAATGGTAGGGTTTTTAAAAATTAGGTTAATTCTTTGGGAAACACTTTAGGGAAAAGAAAATGATCATACTGGTTCTCACCTAGACTTTATTAGATCAGAACTAGATTGAATTTAGGTGTTATCTTTAAGTCATTTTGCATCAGAAGTTGATATAGATTTATCTTTATGAAGCTTAAAAAAATGTCTAATGGGCAGGGATTATTTCCTGCCTACTTGACTTCTTTCTTTGATATTCTGTACATATGATATATATCTTTTAATGATTTGAAATAACCAATTCCCTTTCAAAGTCTTAATGTTACCAAACCAAACTTGGGTTGGCTTGCCTGTGCTCAGTAAAGCCGATCTACTGACACTGGGTTATGGTACAAGAAAATGCAATGTTTATTTCAGGTTCCAAACAAGGAGTCCAGTATTTAGTACTCAAAAGGCCTGAACTCCCCAATAACTTTTAGGGAAAGGTTTTAAAAGTCATGGTGAGGGACAGGGGTGTTGTGGGGTACATGATCAACTCATGAGCATTCTTCTGATTGGTTGGTGATGAGGTAATTGGGATCTCATCAGTTTCAGACCTTCTGTGGTTCCAACCGCTCTGAGACCTATGTGCTTGTGGGCAGCATATAGTTAACTTCTACCTGATGGGGGTTCAGTGTCTGAAAAACAGCTCAAAGTATATAGCTCAGAATATTATCTATAACTCTGAAGAAGGAGCTAAAGGTCCTTGACTTTTTTGAATGGCTAAATTCTTATTATTTTGTCTTGTTTGTTTTTCTTTCTTTCTGCATTTTTTTCCCACTTCTAAATTTATTCCCACAATAATTTATTTATTAATTAATTTATTATTATTATTTATTAATTTAATTATTTATTAATAATTTATTTCCCACAAACTAAATTTATTCTTTGGAACTCCAGGAAGGCCTAGGAGGCTAAAGTTTTTCTACAGAGGCAGATGGAGAACATGGGCAGGGGAGGAGTCTGTTCCAGGTTGGCCCTGCTGTAGGGTCTTGTTCTGTTACATGAACATAACCTCTTCATCACTGGAGCTAGCTAATTTCAAAGACCAAAGAAATTTTAAATTGTAAAATGGAATTACTATTAGCCATAGATGAAATCTCCAATAACCGAAACTTTGGAGAAATTGTGTGTATGCCCTTTCTTCTGACTAGGAGCATTTATTATTCATCTGTCATTGTGAGGAGCGCTCTGCTGTTCTAGGCCAGGCCCTTGGGTGGAGCAGAAATCTTTGAAGTAGAAGGAAGGTTTTTCATTTTTAATCAGGTAGCTCGAAGCTTATTTCTGTTCAAATTGGGAGAGTGGTCTCCTAGTTCTTTTTTTCACCTCAGTTCTGCTAGTCCTCAATCTGAGGCAGATTCAGTTACTTAATCCCATCCGACTTTTCCTTAAATTTCCCCTTCGGATACTTCCCCTTCATTTGTGAGAATACGTGGCATTTATGAGAAATGTCAAAAGTAAACCTCAAGTGTGGTCTAAGAAGGATCACCCTCTTCTGGACCTCAAATGCTTCTCAGGGGGCCTGCCTCCCGTCTGGTAAGAACAGGCTTAGGTACCTGCAGTTTCTCTGTAAAACACCTTAGCTGAAGGCGGAGACAGCAAGGGAAGTACTCACTCCTTCCAAGCACAGTCTCTAGAAGTGGTGCCTTCCTGACAACTAGGGGACTGATTCAGTTATTTTTAAAACAATCAAGACAATAGACTAAACACCAGGAGAGCAAGACCCGCCAAGGCAGTAGGGATGGAAATCAAAGAATGATGCTTGTTACCTGGGTTCCCTTCCCCTTATGAGAACCCAACTATGTTTCTTTTTCTTTTTTAAAAAAAACTAGTATTTATTTTATTATACAGGAGGATGAATATATCTTCCTGTTTTTACTGACCACTTAGAATTTTTTCCCAGTCTATTGAGAATTGTTTTGCAAAGCAAAAGATGATTGTTTTGCAGAGAATTAGTTTTCAAAGTGATCCTTCAGTTGCCATGGTTTATACCTTTCTAAGTTTTGGTCATCACAGATCAGTCTGAACAAGTCATTTCTGAGGGATAAAAACACATAGGTAACCCTTATTTTGAAAAAGTCATTATTTGATCCTCCAGCTATGTTTCTCATCTAAATACTCACTGCTCAAACTAGAAATAAGAGCAAAAACAACTTTTCTTTTTCTCCTGCCAGTGTCCACTTGACTTTTCCACCTGCTCATTCTGAGCTGAAATAGGGACAGAGATCAAATCCCATGGTGCCAGATCTATCCTTAAATTTTAGCCGTACTTTCCATTTTCAGTTATACCATTTCTGTAGTGGTGTCTTAGTCATTCTCAGACTTTTTCTGTGGTAAGAGAAATTGAAGATGGGGAGGGAACGAGGGCTTTGAGCCCTAGCCTGTGATTTGGCAAATGTCCTCCAATGTCATAGTGGTTAGCTCAAAAAAGTGTTCAGGCCAAGACAGCCTTATGATGTCAGTTAATGGTCCAAGTTCCCATGAACTTTGGAGAAAAAGAGGAGCTAAATGAGGAATGAGACCCCTGGAATTCTGAATGGCAGGAAGCCAGGGTCTCTACACAGGGCAGCCTGGCCACTGAGCCTCTCCCACTGCCAGACTGCACCAGCTGATACAAGTCAAGAGGTGCTCAGGGCTGGGGGTTGCTGCAGCCCTTTGACCTCAGAGCTGGGTCATGAGCCAGCATTGGGGGAAGTGTCAACTGCCAGCAGAAGGATACAGGGCACATCAATATCCCAGGAATTCTGTGGGGAGAGGGTCACCGTCACCACCAGAGTCTGGGGAATGCATCTGCCTTCGAGCAGTGCCGGCTGCAGACGAAGGGCTCGTTTCTGCAGTGGGAACTGGTCCATATGTGGACTTCTGTAGTAGAAAAATCCTGGGTG